TTACTATTTTATATATTTCTTTATTCTTCTAACAGTTTCCTGAATTTTGTTTTAACTCAGTAAACGTTCACACCAAGAACCATTATCACTTCGAAGGCGAAAAGAAAACAATTATTACTACTACTTAAATTAAGGAAACAATTAAGAGCCCAAGATTTAAATTGAGACAAATGCTTGAAAGTTAGGTTGTGAGGCATGGCCTGGTGCCCATGCAACCTAATTTCCCTGAGGATGTCAGACAAAGCTGGCGCACACGTGCCCAATTATTTTATTTTGTTTGATAATCAGATAAGAATAGTATTTGGACTAGTACATAAAACTTGAACTCAAGATTTGTGTACTTTCAGGGAGATTTTTCAATATTAAGCAACAAGGTGGGATATTAATTTCAAAAGATTAGCTGTACTATTTCTAATGTTCTACGAATTAATCAAACTTTGGATAACATTTTGCAGCAGTGAAGCAATTAAAACGAATAAGAGTTAAAAAAACAATGTGACCAATCGTTCATCTGCATATTTTCAAAAAATATTTCCAATTACTAAATATGTATATAGTTGCTAAGAATGGACAAACATTGGCTAAAATCTTGAGAAGAGATCAATGTAATTATTTTAGAATGTCCGTGCTTATTTGATAACTAGAAATTTGTAACACTCAAGACAAGTAAAAAATTTGAAAAATTGAGCAATCATATTTCAAAAATCTAAACAAACAAAAAGAAGAAACAATGAACTAAAATGACGACATTGACAAGAATGATTTCTATTAAGTAAATTTACGCAACACATCAAATATTTATATTGTATTTACTATTCGTAGCTATACTTTCATCAAATTTATCATTCATAGCTACATTTGAATCTTTATAGCAAATCCATGAAATAAGAGTTAATTGTTTTGAACTGAAACAAGAGAGAAACGAGCTTTCGTAGCTCAGTTGGTTAGAGTGCCCGTTTAGTTAGCAAAGCTCTTGAGTTCAACTCTTAACAAAAATATTTTATTCTTCTGTATTTCTGTATTCGCCTTAATTGTATTCGTTGCGCGAACAAATACACTGGATATAAGTTGTATCCAGTGTACATACCCTTATATTTCGCGTTGGTTACAGTTGATACATATTGTATTCGTTGCACAAATGAATACAATTGCGCGAATGAATACAACTGATACACGTTGTATTCGTTGTGCGAACGAATACAGTTATTCGTTACGCATTTGAATACAAGTGATACAAGTTAGTAACAATTAAATAGTAGCTATGAATGGTAATTAGACAAATTATTTTTACTAGGTAGAGCCGTCAATATGGGCTTGGCCCATTGGGTCAGCCCAACACAGCCCGTGATTTAGCAAGGTTGGGCTCAAATTTTTAGAGCCCATGTAAAAATGATGCTTTTAAGTCCGGTCCGAGTAAGCCCGTGGCCCGTGAGGCTTGACTGGGGTTAGGTTGGGCCGGCCTATGGGCCTAATAAAGTATTTATTTAGAATATATAAAATATAAAAAGTATATTGGCTCTAGTGATGGGATGTCGGAATTGGATCTTTTTACTTAGAGGAACCAAAGCTTGATCCTGAGAAGTTTCAAAAGATGGATGTTGTCATGTATTGGAAGGACCATTCTAGAAAATATCCCGATCTTTCAATGATGGCGCGTGATGTACTTAGTATTCATATTGGCCCTGTAGCATCAGAATCAATATTTAGCATTGGTAGGCGTGTTCTGACAAAGTACAAAAGTTGCATCCATTATGAAATGTCCAAACACTTCTTACTACTTGAAATTGGCTGCACGACTTTTTCCAAACTCAAACTGATAATTTTTTTTATGTGAATTTGAATATTATTAGTTTTTAAATTTTATTATTCTTAATATTTAACTAATTAATATTGCACATGAATTATAGATGTAGATAAAAGTGAAGATGTTAACACAACCTTGTCACAAGCTGATCCAATTGTGTTTGACGAAGATGATGTGTTGGATAATCCATAAGCGTCATGGACGTTCTCTTGAATAGGTTGTTTTGAGTTTTGACTTGTAGTGAATGAAATACAGTCTTGTTTTTTTTTTTTTTTTTTTTTTTTTTTTTTTTACCTTTTTAGTATTTATTGTGATATATTGGAACCGTATAAAAAGTTATTAAGTTTTGCAAAAAAATTTCAATAAGATATTTTTTAACTTTTAAATATTTATCTTCTTTTTTTTCAGATTAGAACTTAAAAAAATATATAGAATTATATTTTAAAAAATGATGGGCTAGCCCGTGGGGGCCCACGGCCCACATAGGTCTGGGGTGGGCTGACCATTATAACGCCCACTAAAATGGTAGGCTAGCCTAGCCCAACCCGTCAATTGCTAAAGCCCACGTGGGCTAGATTGGACTAATTTAATATAACCCCACCCAACCCATATTGACAACTCTATTACTAGGCTCTAAATTATAGTGATTTATGAAAATTCTCTTTATATTACAGACCAATTTACTTCACAAGACCTAGAGGGATCAAGAAAATATGGAAAACAATAACCTAAATTGAATAGCAATTTTGTAATTAAATGGAGCACATGCAACGTAGAATTCAAACTTCCTTTTCCCACAGGCTTGACGACAACTTTTTATTTATTGATGATAAAGACTTTTTCCTCTTTTATTTTTTCTGGATAAACACTTGGCCTTTTATTGTTTTTTTTTGTTTATATGAGAGACTTGACTTCAGAAATTTATTGGGTCAAAATATTTTGTATTTTTTCCGTAATTAGAAGGTAGACAGTAAACAGGCACATTTGGGAGAGTGAATGATACCTAAAAAAATGACCCAATAATTGAAAGAAGTGCAAGTACAAGAACCTTGTAGTCTGAAGTATTTCCTTTTCTCCCCTTTTTTTTTTTAAATTTCCTTTTTCCTTTTAAGTATACAAAAGAGTAGTGTAAAATATATAATGTATTCATATTTGATGAAAAGAAGATTATATTCAGTACGTCTTGAAGAGACATGTGATATTAGTAGTTGGGAAATGAGAATATCTCGATTATATTTAATGAAATGACCCCATTACAACTAATAGTTATATGTCGTTTTTACAAAGTATACTACAAAACAAGTAAGTTCTTCATTAAGTAATAATTTATTTTTTGTACCCTTGTCAACATTAATAACTTATACTTTTACAGATGTTTATTGGAAAAATTGTATACCTAATTTTCCTTATCGTAATAAATAAATAAATAATTAGGTTTATAAAGCAGGCGAGAACGAAGAATGGGAGAACTCAAGAAACAACTTGCTAGTTATTTTTAAATTATCGTGTAAAGTAAGAACTCTAATAAGTGCTCATTTAATTATTTGCACAAAAACAGTAGAATTGAAAATAATAAAAAGAACAGTAAAAGGAGGTACCCAAAATCTAAACGAAGTTTCGTTCTCTTTTAGCTAATTTTGTTAATAATAATCCTAGAGCTGAACCTATTTTGAGAAAGGGAAGATGGAAAGAAATGGTTGGTAGAGGAGTCAATTGAGTTTAATGATAGAACATTAGAACTGTTGGCCCTGCTTCCTTTTGGTTCTTCGTTTTCCAAATGCACAAATTTGGTGCTTTGGACGTGTGGAACGATACATACATTTTCCGTGGGTGTGAACATCCCAAAATTGTTAGACTCGAGCACCATTTTTTTATTAAAATTTATACGTTGAAACTTGAATATATATAAATATCAAAATATCTGGATATGAATTTCTAAAAAAAATTATGATAGTTGATAATGATAATGCCTAACGGTGATAGACGGATAGTCAGGGGCGGATCTACAATATTAGGTGCAACAACTTTTACCCGAACCTTGTATTTGTATCATATTGGACAGTACAAGCCCAATAAACCATTAGCCCAATTATAGTTGAAGTAACATATTTGTACATGATACTCTTACATGTGATAGACACATTTTTGTAATAGCTAGCCACATTTTACCACTCCTAATAGTATATAAACAAAAAGATGTTTCTGGAACAAATACAAGAAAGACATTTTCATTTCAATAAGATCAGATATTTTTCTCTCTCTTCGTCTCTCATTTCTTCTTCTATGATAATGGAGTTTTGTACAATAACCGAGCTTTTCTTCACTTGATATGGTATCAGAGCCGAGGATCGCTATCAACTCTCTTATTCGAGTCGAGCGATGTTACCCTCGACCTTAGTTTTACAAGTTTCGGTTTCATGTACAAACCCTAATATTCCAAAATTTGGGGTTTTACATATTAATGTGGATGTTGTGGTCCATTTCTTTAAAGATGAAGCTTTTCTAAGTTTATTCATGGACTTTTGACTGGATCTCAAAGTCTCGACAGGTTCTCACTATTTCAGAAGAAGAGCGGTATCATCCACTATCACTCTTATTTGTTACTGTATATACATCATTCTGGTTTGAAATTTTCTTAGAAATATCATTTGATTTTAGAAATACTAGCTGCTATCATGACCATAGATGCTGACACTACGTCTTCGTCCATTTCATCTGAGGGTTTTGCTACTTTTAGTCTAGATCCTTCTCACCCTTTCTATGTTCATCTGTCGGATAGTCCTGGTACTCATTTAGTTTCTCCTCCGTTTGATGGTACTGGTTTTGTTGCATGGAGGAAAAGTATGCTTGTTTCTCTGTCTGCCAAAAATAAATTGGGCCTGATTAATGGTCGGCATGATAAACCTTCAGTAGATTCTCCTTATTATCCCTTTTGAGAAAGGTGCAATGATATGGTGATCGCTTGGATCACCAATTCTCTCTCTACGGATATTGCTACCAGTGTATTGAAGTACAACACTGCTAGGAAAATCTGGTTAGATATAAATAAAAGATTTGGACAGTCTAATGGGTCTAAATTCATCCAGATTCAGAGGGAAATTGGAACTATCTCTCAAGGGACTTTAGATATTGCATCTTATTTTACTAGGTTGTTAAGTCTTTGGGATGAAATGAGTACTGCATATGTGGATCCTGTTTGTTCTTGTGGTGCTTTACCCAAATTCATTGAAGAACTCAAGCTCTTTTGGTTCTTAGCTGGCCTTAATGAATCTTACTCTACAATTAAGAGTAACATTCTTATGATGTCTCCACTCCCTACTATTAGTGGAGCTTATTCTATGTTACAACATGATGAGAAACAGAGGGAATCTTCTCACATACCATGCTTCTCCAATGAGTCAGTCTCTTTCTCTGCATCTTCTACACCTTCTGATAATCAGAAAAGTTTTAATCAAAGGGTTCAGTTTGAGTTAAGAAATCCCGGGCAAGGTGTGGGGGTTTCATGCAAGTATTGTAAAAAGTCAGGGCATACCATTGAGAAGTGCTACAAGCTGCATGGATTCTCTCCTGATTTCAAGTTCACACGGTCTAAAAGGTCTGCCCCATGTGTTTATGCTAACACTTCATCCATTGAATCTTCAGTTCAAGCTCCCCTTTCCCAACCTGGGACTTCATCTACTCATGGTTTAAGCCAGAAGCAATATTAACATCTTATCTCTTTTCTACAGCAAGCAAATATTTCTCCTGGTACCAACAATAATAGTTCTTCTAGAGAAACTTTTGGCTTTGCTAATTTTGTAGATTTGTTGAAAAGTTCTGTGGTTAATTCTATTAATTTTCATGTTTGTGCATCTTCTCAGTTAAGTGATGATAGTTGGATTTTAGATTCTGGGGCTACTAACCACATGACACCTCATAAACAGTTTCTTCACAATTTAAAACCATTACCTTAGCCATTTTTAATCACTCTTCCTAATGGATATAAAGTCAAGGTTGTTTCAACTGGCTCTTTACACCTTAGGGCTGACATAACCTTGCATAATGTTCTTCTTGTGCATTCTTTTCAATTTAACTTGATCTCAGTATATCAACTCCTTCTTCAACTTAATTGTCTTGCAATACTCACCATTGCTACTTGCTATTTACAGGGCCCTTCTCTGAAGAGGCCATTGGAAATTGGTAAAGCTACTAATGGTCTGTTTTTTTTTCCACCTTGATGATACTGCTTCACCATCTCTGTCAGTCCCATCTGCTGCTAGCAATATTTTTTGTTTTTACTGCATCTTCTTTTCTTGTTTTTACTAATCACTCTTGTAATGTTTCTACTTATGCACCTAATCCTGTAACACCTCTTCCCTTTACTCCCCATTGTAATTCAAATTCTAGTATCAATAAAATTGATTCTGTTTTGGCACCAGAGACTAGGCCACATACCTTTTACTAGAATGAAGTCTATTCCATTTGTTTCTAGCAAGGTTTATTCTAAACAATCTTTTATTTGCTCTATTTGTCCTATGGCTCGGCAACAAAGATTACCATTCCCTGATAGCTCCATCCACACATCGGCTCCTTTCCAATTAGTACACATTGACATTTGGGGACACTACAACACTAATACCTATGATGGTTTTAGATATTTCTTGACTTTAGTAGATGATTTTACAAGAGTTATCTGGACTCATCTCCTCTCATGAAAGGGTAATGTTTTATCTGTTATTAAAGCTTTTACTTCTATGATAATCACACAATTCCACGCTTCAGTTCAAAGTTTTAGATCTGATAATGCTTTTGAGCTTGGTACTAGTTTTGAGGCCAAACCCTTCTTCTCTTCCCAAGGTATTTTACACCAGACCACCATTCCACACACCCCACAACTTCTGGTCCAGTGGCAAACGGAGGAACCAACTAAGGTTGTATTCCTGAATATGTGGCGAGGGTTTGAATCCCCTTATATATTTTTTAGCTTCACTTTGTTTTTTTCACAAAACAACACCCGTGTGAATTTTTTTGTTTTTTTATTCTTTCAAAAATAGACCAGCCAACATTAAAAACTTTTTTACTTGCTAAAAGTATCATTTTTGCCCGGAATCCGCCTCTGCAGTGATAGTGATCGGAGGGTGAATGTTTGCGGTAGTGTTAGCAGATGATGGCGATTATAAATACTGTTAAGTAGTAACTAGTGATTCTAATGGCTGATAAAGTGCAAACAATTAAAGCCTTATCAAAGTTTATTTTAATTGGCAGACAATAAGTAATTTTATTTTCTTTATAGTCTTACATGTGTCAGCTTATTTAGGTGTTTAATTAGTACTTCCTATGTGTGCATTAATTATTTTTTCATGAATTTTGTTTCAATATACTAATATCCCGTTTGGCTAAACGGCAAAAATCAGCTTATTTTGAGAAGTATTTTTTTAAAAGTGCTTTTCTCAAAAGTACTTTTGGTTAGAAACAGTTTGTGTTTGGCTAATTAGTTTGAAAAGCACTTGTGAGCAACAATTAGTGTTTAGCCAAGTTTTAAAAAACTGCTTCTAAGTGTATTTTTCTCAAAAGTGCTTTTGGAGAGAAACTACTTTTTTCTGCTTCTCCAAAACTGTTTCTGCTTCTCCTCAAAAACACTTTTTTTCCTTCCAAAAGCTTGGTCAAACACCTCAATTTTTGGCCAAAAATACTTCTGACCAAAAAAAGTATTTTTGACTAAAAAGAAGCTTGTCCAAACAGGCTACAATAGAGCTAACACTTATGTACATCACATGTCCTTTCAAAGATGACATTAAAATTCTTTCTTGATATTCATCACATGTCCCTTGAAAGATTTATTACATCACATGTCCCATTAAAGATGACACGTAACTGTATTTGTGTGGACTGTGGCATTAATTCTTTTATAAATTTATTTAATTTTAAACGATCGTGTATTCAATTATAAATCGTAAAGAACAAAATATTTTACCACTTACTATTTCCGGACAAAATTCTTATTCTCTCTGTTTTATTTTATTTTATATGATTCATTTTTTTGTTAATATATTTCAAAAGAATAATATTTTCATATTTAAAAATAATTTTTCTTATTTTTTTTAATTTACCCTTAAGGACATATTTTTATAGCGTATAACTCTCACGGCATCATCTTAAAATTATAAATTTCAAAAATATATTTTACTTTCTTGATTATGGTCAAACAACGCCACATAGAATGAAACAAGGTACCTTTATATACGTCTGCTAATAGCAGGTGAAATTTGAACAAAAAAAGCTACTAATTTTTTTCTTGTTAAATAAAGAAAGCTGATATATTACTAAAATTAAGATTGTCAAAAATCAATTAAAACCCGTTTATGGATATGATAAACAAGCGCGTCGAATAACTTCGGTCGTACCGGCCAAACCCGCAGAAACTTTGACCACAGCCACTATATATTACTCCGACACAGGCCACAGGTAATGAAATTCTCTTCATTTCAAATTCCTATATCTTCAATGGAAGTTGAAACTCACGCTCTCTCCAGTTTTGATCTCATGAACTCCCCGTCTCCTCCTATTAACTCCATTTTAGACACGTCGTCCGCTGATAATAATGGCCGGAAATGCCAGTGGCCTGACTCCGTCGTCGGAGGTGGGATTCCAGTGGATAAGACGACGACGCAAGCGGCTATGACAGTGCAGAAGGTTTACAGGAGTTATCGCACCCGGCGCATGTTAGCAGACTCTGCTTTGGTTGCTGAAGAGCTCTGGTTTGGTTCTCTCTTTACGTAGGATTAATTTCACTATTCTTGTTATTAGTGTTGTTAATGTGCTTATTTTGGTGATGTATTTGAAGGTGGCAAGCGATAGATTATGCTCGATTAAACCACAGTACAATTTCTTTCTTCAATTTTCCGACACCGGAGACGGCGGCTTCTCGGTGGAATCGCATCACTTTAAATGCTTCCAAGGTATCCTCACAGTTTTAATTTCAATTAGTGTAATACTTTTATATACATTATAGCTTAGATTTTGTTTATCAGTAACATTCCAGCAAGGCTGTCAAGTTGACGAATTAAAATCGTTGAATAAATGAACGGCTCATGAATTAACACGACAAACGTTTGTTTGAGCCAAAATGAATAGAGTCAACTTAGATTAAACAATAATTTTAAACTGTCATTTCATTTATTTGCTTTAATAATTTGTTTAATCATCTAGCTAGATTGGAAGAAAAAGGATTCTATACAGGAAGTGTAGATAAAGAAAAGAAAAATACACACTTATGATTTTATACTTGTTTGGATTTAAAAACACTTTTGGTGTTAAGCAAACAACAGTAGACCAACTTTTAAGCTAACCCAAGTGCACTCTAAATCTAATGAATAAGCTTTTCTTTACGTTGTAGAAGAAGAATTTAGTAACATTATGAAGAGAAAAAAAAGATAAACACACCAAAACNAAATGGAGATAGAGAGAAGGAAGAGATTTTTTTCTTTAATTGTGTGTATTTTCCTATCTATTACTAGACATGAAAAGTGAAGACAATATGTCATGGAATATGTCATTGAACATAGAAAATATGTCATTGAATATGTCATTAAACATTTGACATGAAGATCATGGAGGAAGATTAGACATCTACCATAACATGATATTTATCATAACACTCCCCCTTGGATGTCCATAAATAATGTGCCTCGTTAAAACCTTATTAGGAAAAAACCCTATGGGAAAAAAAGTCCTAATGAAGGAAAAAGAGTACACATATTTATAAATACGCCTTTTGGTTGCCTCGTTAAAAACCTTGCAAGGAAAACCCGGTGGGACAAAACCTTGTAAGGAAAAAAGAGTACACCGCGTATTAACTCCCCCTGATGAGAGCATCAGTTCATATCCTTCAGCCTTCGCATCCCAATCTTGTACACCAGTTTCTTGAAGGTTGACGTCAGTAGAGATTTGGTGAACAAATCAACCATATTATCACTTGAACGAATCTGTTGCACATTGATATCACCATTCTTTTGAAGATCATGTGTGAAAAATAACTTTGGTGAAATGTGCTTTGTCTTATCTCCTTTTATGAATCATCCCTTCAATTGGGCTATGCATGCTGCATTGTCTTCATACAAAATTATGGGTAGTTTGTCACACTTCAAACCACATTTGTCTCGGATAAGATATATTATAGACCTCAACCAAATACATTCTCGACTTGCTTCATGAATAGCAATTATCTCAGTATGATTAGAAGAAGTAGCCACGATTGATTGCTTAGTCGATCGCCAAGATATGACAGTGCCTCCACATGTAAACACATAGCATGTTTGAGATCAAGCCTTGTGTGTGTCAGATAAATACTCTACATCGGCATAACCAACAAGATCAGGATTGCAATCATTGCCACAAAATAAGCCCACATTGGTAGTCCCTTTTAGATAATATAATATGTGTTCGATTTCACTCCAATGTCTCCTTGTAGGAGCAGAGCTATATCTTATTAAGACATTAATTGAAAATGTTATGTCATGCCTTTTAGTGTTAGCAAGATACATTAGTGCATCAATTGCACTAAGATATGGTACTTCAGGACCAACAAGTTCTTCATTATTTTCATGAGGTCGGAATGGATCTTTATTTATATCGAGTGATCTCACAACCATCGGGGTACTAAATGGATGTGCTTTATCCATATAAAATCGCTTTAAAATCTTTTCAGTGTAT